AGAATTATGAGGTAAATTTAAAATGTTGTAAGGTTCGATGGGGTTCTGTAGGAATATTACTTGACTTCTGGGACTATTCTATGTTATTTACTCCTATACTTTGATCTCCAACTACCAATAAAGATAACTGGCGGTGAGTCAGGGCTGAGGAGGTAGAGGCTGTCAGCAGTTTGATCCCTGCACTGAGCAAGGCTCCCTTTTGGGACTGTCTGTGCCATGTCTATGAAGCCTGACAGTAGTGAGTATTTCTTCTTTGGGTCATCAGAGATTCCTAGCAACATACATCACCACTAGGATACAAAGTGTGTGCTCAGAGTAATGTGTTTGTTTCCATAAAGCTCAGCAAATGTTAGCGCTAATAAAACACCAGGGTGCAACACCAATGTGCATCTCCACCCACACAGAAAAGGAGCCGCTGTAAATACTCTCCAGGTCTCTTCTCTTTTAAGTTCTCGCCCCCTGTACTTTAGGAGTTCAAGTATACAAAGTAAGGTAATGAGAGCCCCTACTCTGTTAGTCAACACTTAGCTTTACAAATCAGTAATACAGGTATTTACTGTAAAGACACTTTTATTTTGCAAACAGACCACTTCAGCAGTAATCCACCATGACTTTAGCTTCTTTGTTTTTGGTACCTAGTTTTGTATATTACATTTTCCCTCGTGTTCAGCCCTTTTGTGTCAAGTCTCTGTGATGTTCCACTTGTTTATTTCCCGAATTAATTTTGCCGTTTTGTTTACTTCCTTTGTCTGATTTTTCTGTGATTAGCTTTAGCCGTGTTCCCCTCTTGTTTCCTCTTCCCTCATCACCTTGTGTATTTGTTGTGATAATTTCCACTGGCCCTTTTTTGAGTTGTCCCACTTAGCTGTGCTGTTCCTACTGTTTTTCCCAGTGCTTCCTAGTGCCTCTTTTTGTTTCTGGACTGACAGTTGTTCATTTTAAGCAATAGAGACTTAACTTTATGTTCAACCTCTGCCTACCACTGCATTTGGATCCTCTATCTTCCACCACACCTCTCACAGCTGAATCTGATAGTGTTAGCCCATAAAATACCTTTGCATTAGTCACTGTTTAGAATAATGCTCTTGTAATAATAATATTGGCTGACAGAAAATGAAGGAAAGCATAATAGTTCCCCTTTAAACCAGAGGTGACCTGTGACCTCCATTTCATGCTATTTCTGCCTGAAGCAACGTCATAGTTTCTGTTACTGATGCTGCTACTCTCCACATGCATGCACATAGAAGGGTGGGAAGGTCCGAAAACAGAGCCATGCCATGAAATATAAATCACTGCAGGTGGAAATAGCAGTCCTGTTTTGACTAAAGGGGTCCTGACACAAATAGTGCTGGAACTGTTTCACCCACCAGCCTACTGTATTTAATTCAGCCTTTATTTTACGATGTCGGGCTTATTTAGGCAGCTGCGAGTACACGAGTTCAGTGACCTGGGTGAAAGTTTGTTTGATATCAGAGTTTAGTTTTAAATAAATCTGAGTGGATTCCCTGTGACTTAACTTTGTACTCTGAACTAGTGATTAGGAAAACAACAGCTAAGCTATTTTTATCCTTTTTTTGCATAGTTTTGGTTAATTGTGGGAAGCATAATTATATCTATGATGATTTAAAGGTTTTAGAGTTAAATTAGGAAGCACAGCTCACAGACCAAATGTTCCTCTGTGTCAGCTTTATACATGCAGACAGACAGACAGACAGGGTGTAGTTATCACCAAGGCCAGGCTGGAAATAACAGTTTACTCACCAGGAGAGTCCACTGTGGTAACTGAGGAGCTGGTGAGACTTTTGGAAACAGTCACAGTTCTGTTTTTGGCTCATGCCTGTGACCAGTGAAAAAAAATCTGTTCAGTGAAGTCATTAAACTTTTAATTTACCCTCAACAGCCACCGATACAGGCGCCTTGCCCTTGGATATTGGAAGCTAAAGATATTTCTGAGGTAAATTAAGAGGTTAATTAAACATATGCTACTTTGAGAGTCAATTAACAGTCATTTTACAAGCAGAGATGCCTAAAATTTAATGGTCGCACATTGTTACATGTGATTGGATACTAAATAACTTTGTAATTTCACTCTGTTGGACAAAATACACAGTTGGACCGCCTGGGGATTTAGTGCATTTGTCATGCAGTAGTAAACAAAATTATAAAGGTCTACCCTCTTTCTATCAAAGTAGGAACAGATGCCAAAACAAAATTGCTTACTTTAAATGGCTCCTCAGGCCCCAAATCAGGTGAAGGCATGAGTCAGCTTGTTAATGCATTTATTTGTGATTTTCCAGATTTTACTGAACACGTTTGATAGCTTCATCTGTTTGTTCTGGGACCATGTGATCTCCACAAACTACACTCTGGTGTCACATGCATCCATTGACTTTATGAAATTTGTAAAAAGGGATGTAGCCACAGAGTCTGAAGCTAATGCGGTCCCTTAAAACCTGCATTCTTTTTAATGGCCAGTAGGGGGCGACTCCTATGGTTGCAGAGAAAAATAGGTCTGTTTGTATAGAAGTTTACAGGGTAACAAAAGCCTTTAGGTTCCTCACTCTCAGGCCCTCGTAAATAATTTCCTCACGACTTGTGGGCTTTGTCACTAGTTTTAGGTCGTATTAATGAAGTGGTTCCAGAGTGTAGTGGTTTACAGTATGGTGTAACAAGTGCAAGACCCATAGTTTGATCCTGGGACTGTTTGGGGTTGGGTCAGGAAATCTATCTGGCATTAAAAATCTGCCAACTCAAACAGAGTTACCTAATTTGGTGACCCCTTGTGACTAAGGATGATTAGGGTATGGTCATTGTGTGAGCCCATAGACATTGCACTAAAATGCTTTAAAAATTTGTCAACACCACAAAGAGGGCCAGCCCCAGTTTTGGTGTCCAGAATTAGTAGAGATAGGAGCGAGGAACGATTCTGCCTATTTTCATTTTTGTTCTGTTTTTTTTTTAATCTGCTCGAGTAGCTTTGCATGACTCACAGTCTGAAAGTAATTCTTATTTATCTTACACTAGCACCTCCTTTTTTCTCTTCTTTTTTTTTTTTTAAAGATCATCTTCCCTTTTGGAAAACTTCCTTCTGATTGGTTGCACCTTGTAAACGGAAGGTTTGATCAGTAGGTGGGTGTGGTTTCTGTGAATCTGAGATAACCCTATTAAAGGTTATGTCCTCTCACTCACCTCATACACAGCTAAGAGCAGAGAAAAGGAGGGTTTAGAGCAGCTTTTGGCTCATGGGGATTACTTGTGAAAGCTCTGACCTCATTAGCTGAAATGTTTGGTATCACTCAAACACTATATGACAGAATGTTGTCACTTTAACAGACTTGTAAAGACGGCAGTGTCTTACAAGGGCTGCAAGTTACACATATACTTGACTAACTTATATCAGCCTGTCTGAGTCTGTGTGAGACAGAAGTAGCACTGAAACAACAAGTTTTAACTGCTGCATAAACATGTAAATGTGTGTGAGAGACTAACTGGAAGGAGGGATCCTTCTTTTGTCTGAATGAAGCATGAAGTCTCCTGGGAAGCTTTCAAATCCTCTCTGGAATGTGTGTGTGTGTGTGTGTGTGTGCGTACGTGTGTGTGTGTGTGTGTGTGTGTGTGGGGCACATTTGAACAAGGAATGCAAATATTTGTGTGTGATTCACTTTTGTGGTGTAGTGTAACTGTTGCCATGGTGACCCTGTCCTCTGGTGATTTCTTTGTTACCTGACAACTTCTTTCTTTCTTTCTTTCACCTTATTTTATTTCCTTTTTACGTCCTCATGTCTTTTGTTCTTTTTGTTTAATTTCTTTGTTTCTTTCTTTCCCTCTCTTCCTCGCCCTTCCCTCTGTATCCTTGTTTAATCCTTGTTTAATTGTCCTTGTTCAGTGCCAGCCTACAGCTCAGGTTTCATCAGCTGCTCTCGTTATTAAGTTTATTTACCGAGCTCTCAGCTCATCCTCTGGTGGCCCTGAACTTGACTGTCTGGCTCTAGTTTTTGTTTGCAGCTGGGAGTGTCTGCATGTGTACACAGTAAAGTTACAGTATTTCGTTATATTAAACCAGTTGTTTCCTGTAGACTTAGTCGGTTTTCTAACAGGTCTAGTACAAAAAAGAACCCTGATGATGATGATGTTGCTTTTTTAATGTTTTTCTGTGAAGACCATATATAGAAATGTGCGGAGTTCAAACCAATTCACATAAACTCAAAACGCAGAAGAAAGAACATCGATGGAAATCAGAAATAAGAGCTTTGAGAGCACTCTGATACACTGTAGCAGTTAATTTAAATTAATTTAGTTTTTAAGTCCATTAAATGTATCAACATGATCTTTTAAAAAAAAAAGAGATAATTGGTGCAAAGAGTGTAAAGATGCAATTTATGATCTTTAGAAATGGTTCTTAAAAATCCGCCCATTCATGTTTTTGCAAGACACCGTGATGTCAGCATCACCTGTATATGTTAAACATGTATGTTAAACATGTACAGGTGCATTAAATTGACACAGATATCTGTGTATTATTGACGGGCTATTAATAAGCTCAATAGTTGCACAAACGTCTGGGTCTTTACCATATATTAAGATATATTGTCAGATTATTTATTTGAAATGCTCCAGGGCATGAATGGCAGAAACACCTGGCCAGAAGTCCACTGAAAAGAAATATTTTCTTTGCAGTCTGTCAAAATTTCAGAATATTAAATCAGTTTTTACTCAAATTTACTTACTAAAAATTGGGCAATTAATTTGGAGTTGTCAAGTTGAAATTTTGACTTGCAGATGGCAAAAAGTGGTTTTTTTATTTTGTTTGTTTGTTTGTTTTTTTCCAGTAGCAGAAACAAGCTTCGTTAGCTATTCATGTAGATTTTCTTTTAGCTAATTATCTCGTTTTTCTTGTGAGTTACCTGATTTTGTAGCTCTTTGTTGTTTAAAACTTAAACCCTTTATAACCCTTGTTGTGTACTGAGCATTTATTGTAATGTTTTGTGTGTATTGTGCAGGATGGTGATGGAGGAGGGGGGGCAGAGAGACAGAGGAAGGAGAGCTCCAGCAACGGCGCAAGCAGAGGAGAGGCGGATTTTCCTGGAGCTCGGTGAGCGAGTTTGAGCCTTCGTTTAACTCCTAAATGTTTCTTCAACCATGTCAACGCTTCCTTAAAAATAAATATACCTTCTTAAATAGATCACACTAGTTGCACTGAGACTGAGGAGAGCTATTTACTGATGCTGTGTTTCTTCTTTTGACAGGGGAGCAGAACTTTGATGCCATTTATCTGTCAACATATCGAACAGCCTGCAAGCTCAGATTTATACAGAAGAGATGCAACTGTGAGTCAGAACTGGCCTCGTTTACAACAGAAAGATGCGTTATTAAAATACTCATGTGTCAGTTTAGGCTGATGTAAAAGGGAAAATTTTTACACTGTGACATATTATTATAATAATAAAATGAGTGCAGAAAAATTTGATCAAAATCTTACTTTTTATTGTAAATAGTGAAGCATTGCACATCTTTCAACACCTATCAAACGATAAGATTCTTAAAGTTAAAAAGAATTTAAATACTTTGACTTCCTTCCTCTTCTTCCAGTGCATCTCATTGACATTTACAATGTGATCGAAGCGGTGCGGGATGCGGGTCTAAACGCAGTAGAGCTGAACGCTGGCATCTCTGTGACCAGACTGGAGAACCTCGTGTCCTCTCTGTTCAACCAGCTCAGCAAACGCCTGCCCACCACACACACCATCAACCCGCAGCAGAGCACCGTCCTGCTGGTCGAGTTCTTACTGGCTGCCATCGAGTGGTAATGATTAGGAAGTGGCAACAGTGAGATGTGGCCATCCACATCCTGTTGTTACCTTTAAATGAGTGTCTTTGTCATAGTTTCACAAACGTCATCACACATGCTTTTGTTTGTGCCGCAGTGAGCCGGACAGCCGTCTGACAGTTTTCTCTGTAAAGGCGATGCTGGCCACTCTGTGTGGAGGGAAGCTGGTGGATAAACTCCGCTGTGAGTACCAGTCGATACATCACAACAGACACGAATCATTATCATAATTCTTACCCCAATCTACAGTAATAGTTTGGTGTGTTTATTGTTAGTGACGGAGGAGCACATGTGCGTTTGCTTAAACCACAGTATTTATAGTAGTGTGAACGTCACTCGGTGTGCTTGCTATTTCCTGCCATGTGCTACATATGAGTAAACTCAGTTTCTTTTGTACAGCCCATGACATGAAAACCTAGAAAACCGTGGGGGGAAGTCACTGACATATTAAAACAAGCGAACAAATAAAAATTCAAACTATACAAAAACCCTGTAAAATAGAGACTGAGGGAAAGAGAGGCAGAGCAATATGAGACGAATCAGAACACAGATGTGATATTGATGGATAAAGGGTAATTCTGCTCTGCATAAACCTGATCACTTATTGTGGTTTAATCTGCCAGTTTGTACAGTGGAACTGTGTTTGGCCATGGTGACCCATACCATGAAGCTCCTGGTGCACAGTTCCTGTGCTGATGTTAATGACAGAGGAGGTCTGGAGCTCTGCAGAGTCGGGAGAGCCTCGGTTACTTTTATGCACCATAAACCACAAGTGGTTTGACACTTTATAACTGAGGTGCTGTGCATCTTAAACATTTTTTTTTTTAATACACTTACAGCAGTGGGACTGAAAACACCTGAATTCAAAGATTAAAAAAAGAGGAACAGCAGAGTATATAGAGTCGATACCCATTTACTTTCTGAATGATTTGGATCGTTTTAATCTTATTTCCAGCTGCAAACTGTCATTGTAGCAAATGATGTTCACTGTGAGAGGTCGACCTGATTGCTGATTGAATTTTATCTAGGTTTTCTTCAGGCTGTGGTGCACAGTCATGTTAAAGTTTAACACAATACTTTTTTTTTGTTTATAAATTGGAGTTTTTTATATTATGATGAAATCCTAAAACAGGGGTGGAGAAGGTTTCTTAAAATGAAAAAAACAAAAAACAAAAACTGCATCAGTTTGTGCCAACAAGTATTGCATGATAAGAGTGGTTGTCCAAAATGTTAATTTTATCCAACTTGGAGATCTGGATCACTGACAAAGGTGTTACCTGTGGTCTGTCACAACACATGAAAGTAAGGTGGTTAATTCATGCAGATGTTCATCTTCGTATTGTGAGTGCACAGACTGGTGATTGCACTTGTTTTTGCTAAGTGGATGGTTCACTAAACTTTCAGAAAACTTTATTAAGTTGTAAAAAGCATATCCTCGATGTGGCCTAAAGCATTTTAGTACAAGTTTTGGTACAATTTACCTGTAGTTATATTTGTTTTTTACAGGAAATCTTTTATTCTGTTTATATGTTGCATATGCGCCACCTGGTGGACGAGAAATATCAGTGCTGCTGTTTGCTTATGCTTATTTACCTTCACTTGCGTTAGGGTCAGTCAAATTTCCAAAAATGTACCTGCTAACCTAATCAAACTCAGCTGATTTGATTTTTTTTAAAAGAACTTTAGTAAATTTAATGAAGCCATGACCAATTTTACCTTCATACTATGAAAATTATCCATGTCACAGACTCGAATTACATGGAGTGGGCAATAGAAAAAAGAAAGGAAAAAAAAAACCCTGAAAATATCATGTGCACCTGTACTCAAGAAGTTTTGAAGTCTCAAAAATGCTTTAAAAATTAAATTAGATTTAAGATTAAATTAAAAAGCTCCAAAGTTAAACAAAAACTCAGCTGAGAGAGTCTGGCTTTTATGACACTCACTGGTTTAATCTGCCACACTTACTGGTTAAAGTCAAGGTTAAGGGAGGCACTGGGGTTTGGACATGTAGTATTTTAAGCTGCCTTCTTCATTTTGTGTGTGTTTGTGTGCACACGCGTGTGTGTAGATGTGTTTTCTCAGGTATCTGACTCCAACGGTGTATTGGTACTATCCAAGTTTGATCAATTTCTGAGGGAGGCTCTCAAGCTGCCCACTGCCGTATATGAAGGGCCTTCCTTTGGCTACACACAAACCTTAGCACGCTCCTGCTTCCCCCAACAGGTAAACACACACAC